CACTCCCGCCTGCTTACGGGCCTCAGGGATCAACTGACAAGGACTGTTGTGACAAAAGGCTAAGTTACAACGAGAGGGAGAAACGACCAGCTACAACGGATCAGGCGTTAACATTACAGTTGTAAAAAAATATTAATTGTATTTACTTTATATACTCCAGCCATACAGGTTAAACGATCCTGACAACCGAATGGTCGAAGTTCCCTCTGCGTTTGGTACGGCCACGGCAGATGGCTTAGCTAGATTATATGGTATTCTTGCTAACGGAGGAGATTTAAATAGAACGAAACTCTTGTCCAAGGCAGCTATCAATACATTAAAAACGAGTGTCATTAAAGGTATGGATAAAGTCGTTATGAAAGAAAATGAGTGGGGACCCGGTACATTGATCAGTGACATAAAGGTAGGCCCTCGTTTTGATTTCCACTTTTTCATAATTTTCAAAAAAAACACAACAGATCGTATCTTCATCATAGGCAAAGCCTGTATTTAATCCAATAAGTTATGGCCTTAACGGCCCCAATAAGACATGTTTCGGCAGTCCACTACCATCGTCAGTTATCTATTGCACGCAGGCAATCATTGATATAGGGGAGTAAAAATTCAATGTTATGCATGCTAACAAATTGTGGAATGAACCGTAACAGTACTACAAAGCAAAATATAAATAAAGATAAGGTAAAATCAGAGTGCAGTATTTATGCCACAAAGGGGAGAATGGAATGAATTTAGAATGACAAAGATAAATTAACATGAAGAAGCTGTTCGTTCAGTGAGGGCTGCTCCCACTGAATATGCAAGGCTTCTTTGATTTTTAGAATTTGGTTGTAGAGGCGGAGTTCAGTATCGTGAAACAGTCCTCATTGGCTGATTGTTTACAATGACGTGAACTTTTCAGATGCTTTAATATATGCGAGTTCCCATCCAGTGTTAGGTTCTCACGCATGCGTGTAGAGAAATGTCGGCTTGTTTTGCCAACGTAACAAGCATTACAGCCTGCACATACAAATTTGTAAACGACACGCGAACGGAGACCAACTGGGATGGGATCTTTAGCTGAAAACAAATTTTTAACTTTAAATGTCTTATTGGGGCCGTTAAGGCCATAACTTATTGGATTAAATACAGGCTTTGCCTATGATGAAGATACGATCTGTTGTGTTGTTTTTGAAACAAAAACTTAAAAATATTAGCTGTCTGCTTTTCGATCGTTCTTTTTCATAATTATAAAAACATAATAGCACGTGGAGAGCGTAGGCTAGGCATACCCAAAAATACTAATTGTCATTCCCTTTCGTTAGTGTTCTAGGAACGAAACAGGTCAACTCGGTCCCAAAACTTAACTCGGTGACCTCCATCCCGGCTACTCAACTAGGCTCCAACTCAACTCGGCTCCAAGTCAGCAAGTGTTATATTATATTTACTATGTTATATTAAATTTTAACAATTATCTTTGTTTTGTTTAATTGCAGATTGGGAAAGCTTTCGGACATAGTGGAGCCGGCGGACAGGAAGGCTGGGCCAACCCTGAGCTAAAAATAGGCTATGGTTTCGTGACCAATACACCTACGGTCAGCCTTTCGGAGAATGGACAACGCTACTTGTTACTACGCAAAAGTCTTTACGATTGCGTTCAAAACTTAAAAAAATAAATCCATTTTTTATTATATTGTGCTGTCTTAATTATTAATGTATATTTTAGGTCATTTCTTATCTTAATTGCTTGTAGATAATTGTTTTGTCCGGCCGGTACCCAGGGTGTGGGGGCCTACTACTGTAGATAAGAAACCGACGATTGTTCATAAATTTGTTTAAATGATTATAAAATTCTATTAATAATTATTACAGGTCTATCGAACAACAGTAAAAATTAACTAAGTAAAACGTCCGTTTTACGTACCCATCGCTAAGAGCTATTCATAAATTTAAAAATCTGTAAATTGGATCAGTTATAGCTTCTATCTGTTTGTTAAATTGAATGCGATTGATAAAAACATGTATATATATATATATATATATAT